TGTTGGGGATGGATGTTGGGGATGGATGTTGGGGATGGATGTTGGGGTTGGACACTGGGGTGGACACTGTGGATGGACACTGGGATGGACACTGGGATGGACACTGGGGTGGACACTGGGATGGACATTTGTGATGGGCACTGAGATGGACATTAGGGATGGATGTTGGGGATGGACACTGGCGGTGGGAACTGGGGATGGATGTTGGGGATGGACAATGGGGATGGACATTGGGATGGACACCAGGGATGGACGCTGGGAAAGGACATTGGGGATGGATGTTGGGGATGGACACTGGGATGGACACCAGAGATGGACACTGGGAAAGGACATTGGGATGGACCGATGGATACTGGGAATGGACACTGGGGATGGACATTGGGGTGGACATTGGGGATGGACATTGGGGTGGATATTGGGGTTGGACACTGGGATGGACATTGGGGTGGATGCTGGGGATGGACACTGGGATGGACACTGGGATGGACACCAGGATGGACACTGGAATGGACACCGAGATGGACACTGGGGCTGGCATGGGTCACCACAGAGGTGGTGGCACTGGTGAAAATGGCCTGGGGGTCCCACGAGCTGGGTGGCCCCGGGGGCTTCCTGGGGGTTGGGGCTGAGGTGGCATCTCTGTCCCCAACAGGGACACACAGCCCCTGGCTCTGTCACCCCAGAGGGTCCCCCAGGGGCTGGGGATAGGAAGGGACGAGGAGGGGGAGGGATGAGGAGGCCCCAGGGTGTTGCCCTCCCCCTCCCCCAGCCTTGGAGCCGCTCGGGCTCCCAGCAGTGTCCCCACGCTGTCCCCTGCCCCTGCCCAGCCTTTCCCAGCTCTCCTTGTTTTCCAGCTGCTCCGGGAATTAATCAGAGCCACTCCTGCGGGATCCCGAGGCTCCCAACCCTGCGGAGAGCTGCCAGTCCCCATCCCCCTGGATTTTACCTCGTTTGCATCATCCGCTGCCTTCGCTTTGCCCCCGAGGGACGTGTCACTCAGAGGTGACACCGCGGTGACAGGGTGGCACTGGCAGGGCTGGGGGGGGGAGGAACAGCCTGTCCAGCCCCTGGGGACCCTCCCAGAGGTGGCATGGACCCCCCCTGCCAGCTCCATCCAGGGGGATTTGGGCACAGGACAAGGGGCAACCTCTGTGCCCAGAGCGGGGCACGTGGGACACGGAGCCTCCGGGATCCTCCAGGTCATTCCCTGCATCCCCGAGGGGAGGGGAGGGTGGAAAACAGCGAGGGAAGGATGGAAAACAGCGAGGGAAGGATGACAAACACAGAGGGAAGGATGGCAAACACAGAGGGAAGGATGACAAACACAGAGGGAAGGATGGCAAACACAGCCTGCTCCAGAAACAGCTTTTTATTGGGAAAGCCAGGGAGAGACAAGCCCCAAATCCTCCGGGAATCGGAGCTGGGGCTGGCGGGGCCGGGGCTGACTCAGCTTTGTCTGGGCACGGTATTTTATGGGAATTCTGGGACTGGGAATGCTGGCACTGCTAGCCAGCTGCTGCTCCTCCTGTGCCAGTTCCCTGCGGATGAGCCACTTCCCCAGGGATTGTCTATCCAGGATCTGGTGGCACTTGGCATCGAGGAGCAGCCATGGGGACAAGAGGTGGCTGGTCCTCGGTGCCACGTGATCCAGGCTGGGATCATGGAGAGGGAAGGGGAAGGGATCAGGGGACCTGCTGAAGCCCAGGGACCTTCCCCAGGGCTCCAGAGGCCACATTCCCAGCACGGAGAGGGGGCACCGTGGGCTCCTCCAGGCCTGGATGGGCAGGGACGGAGCTTCCACAGCTCTGGGAGACACCCCGGCCTGGGAATGGGATGGGGGGGATTGGTGGATAGAGCCAGAGAGGGATTCCTGGGCATGACCGGTGTGGGATTTGTGGACACCAGTGTGGGATTGCTGGACATGACCAGTGTGGGATTTGTGGATCCCAGTGTGGGATTTGTGGATCCCAGTGTGGGATTGGTGGGTACAACCAGGGATTCCTGGACATGACCAGTGTAGGATTTGTGGATCCCAGTGTGGGATTCCTGGACATGACCAGTGTGGGACAGCTGGATCCCAGTGTGGGATTGGTGGGTACACCCAGGGATTGCTGGATACAGCCAGAGTGGGATTCCTGGACGTGACCAGTGGATCCCAGTGTGGGATTCCTGGGTACAACCAGTATGGGATTCCTAGATCCAACCAGGGTGAGATTCCTGGCTACAACCAGGGTGGGATTGTTGGATACAACCAGTGTGGGATTCCTGGATACAACCAATGTGGGATTCCTGGACATGACCAGTGTGGGATTTGTGGATACCAGTGTGGGATTGCTGGTTCTGACCAGACTGGGATTGCTGGAGAGAGCAAAAGTGGGATTCCTGGACAAGACCAGTGTGGGATTCCTGGATCAACCAGTGTGGGATTCCTGGATCCAACCAGTGTGGGATTCCTGGGTACAACCAGTATGGGATTCCTGGGTACCATCAGTGTGGGATTCCTTTCCCACCCACAGACCCATCAATCCCAGGGATCCTGCCCACCCCGGGGACAGGAGAAGTCCAGGACCCCCACAGCCCCCCCTGCGCCCCAAAACGTGTCCCCAAGAGGGGTGACGTGTCCTCTGACCCCCCAGGAGCCCCCCCAGCCCTGTTGGGGACCGGGAACAGCGGGAACAGGAGGGGAGATGCCCCCAAAAGTCTGGCTCTGAGGGTTGTCCCCACACTCCTCCCGGCTCAGGGCTTCCCTGATCCACTGGAAATCCTTCATCCAGCCAGCTCAGGATCAAAACCTCTGCCCTGTGAGGATTTTTGGGGGAGTAGAAGCTGTTTTTCCCCCTCCCC